CCTCCCACCTATACACACATACCCTCCCACCCCCAAGAATAAACACAAACCCAACCCACCAATGCACATATACCGTCCCATCCATACACACATACCCGCCCAACAATAGACACATACCCTCCCACACATACACATATACCCTCCTAACTATACACAAATACCCATCCCACCCATACACACATAACTTCAACAATAGACACATACCCTCCCCACCCATACACAAACACCTACCCACACATACCCACTCCACCCATACGCACATACCCTTCAAACAATAGACACTTACCCTCCCACCCATACACATGTATCCTCCTACCTATACACAACCACCAATCCCACCCATACATATACCCTCCTACCTATACACAAATACCCATCCCACATCCATATATATACCCATCCCCTCTATATACACACATACCCTCCCTAACCATACACACATACTCCCTCCCAACCATACACACATACTCCATCCCACCTATACACACATAGATTAAACCACACACATACCCTCCCCCTACATATGCACATACCCTCCCAACCCAGACACATAATGTACCCACACATACCCACCCCACCCATACACACATACCATCCAAACAATAGACACATACCCTCCAACCCATATAAACATATATCCTCCTACCTATACACAAATACCAATTCCACCCATACATATACCTATACCCATCCATATACACATATACCCTCCTACCTATACATACATACCTCCTGACCCATATGCATATACTCCTCCTAACAATAGACACATACCTCCCACCCATACTTCTACACACATACCCTCCCACCCATACACATATACTCCTCCCCTTTCTACCTATCCATACATACACCTCCCACCATATACGTATATATACTTCCTCCCAACAATAGACACATACCTCCCACCCATACACACATACCCTTTCCACCCATACACACATACCCACCCTACCCATACACACATACCCTCAACACTTATTCACAGATACCCTCCCAACCATACACACATACCCTCCCCACACAAACACACATACCTACCCACACATACCCACCCCACCAATACGCACATACTATCCCAACCATACACACATACCTTCCCCACCCATAGACACATACCTAGCCACACATACCCGCCCCAACCATATACACATACCCTCAAAACAATAAACACATACCCTCCCACCCATACACATATACCCTCCCACCCATGCACATATACACTCCTACCTATACACAAATACCTATCCCACCCATACACATACTCCCCCAACCATACACACATACCGTTCCACCTATACACAAATACCTATCCCACCCATACACATACTCAACCACCCATACACACATACCATCTCACCCATGCACATATACCATCCTACCTATACACAAATACCAATCCCAACCATACGCATTTACCCTCCCAGCCATACACACATAGCCACCCCTTCCATACACACATAACCTTCCAACAATAGACTCATGACCTCCCACCCACATACACACATATCCCATAGCAATAGACAAATACCCTACCACCCATACACACATACCCTCCCAACCATACACACATACCCTCCCCAGCCACACACATACCTACCCACATATACCCACCCCACCCATACACACATACCCCCCGAACAATAGACACATACCTTCCCACCCATACACATATACCCTCTACATATAAACAAATACCAATCCCACCTATACACATACCTCCCACCCACCCATACACACATACCTCCCACCCCTAAGAATAGACACAAACCCAACCCACCCATGCACATATACCCTCCCATCCATACACACATATACCCACCCCACCCATACACACATACCCTCCCAACAATAGACACATACCCTCCCACCCATACACACATACCCTTCCACCTATACACAAATACCTATCCCACCCATACACATACTCAACCACCCATACACACATACCCTCTCACCCATGCACATATACCATCCTAACTATACACAAATACCAATCCCAACCATACGCATTTACCCTCCCAGCCATACACACATAGCCACCCCTTCCATACACACATAACCTTCCAACAATAGACTCATGCCCTCCCACCCATACAAACACACACACCCCACACATACACACATACCCTCCCACACATACACACATACCCTCCCAACCATACACACATACCCTCCCAAGCCACACACAAATACCTACCCACACATACCCACCCCACCCATACACTCATACCCCCCGAACAATAGACACATACCTTCCCACCCATACACATATACCCTCTTACATATAAACAAATACCAATCCCACCCATACACATACCTCTCCCACCCATACACACATACCCTCCCACCCTAAGAATAGACAAAACCCCAACCCATACCCATGCACATATATACCTCCTCTTATCCATACACATATACCCACCCCACCCATACACACACATACCCTCCCAACAATAGACTCATACCTTCCTGACTGATAACCTCCAACCTATACAGAAATACATCTCCCACCCATACACACATAACCTCCCAACAATAGACACATACCCTCCCACCCATACACACATACCTACCCACACATAACCACCCTACCCATATGCACATACCCTCCCAACAATAGACACATACCCTCCCAACAATAGACACATACACTTCTCACCCATACACACATACCTACCCACACATACCCAACCCGCCCAAACACACATACCTACGCACACATACCCACCCAACCCATACGCTCATACCCCCCGAACAATAGACACATACCTTTCCACCCATACACATATATACCTCCTACATATAAACAAATACAATCGCACCTATACACATACCCACTCCACCCATACCCTCCTACCTATATATAGAAATACATCTCCCTCCCATACACACATATACCTCCCAACAATAAACACATACACTTCTCACCCATACACACATATACCTACCCACACATACCCAACCTGCCTAAACACACATACCTACACATATACCTACTCCACCAATACGCCTATACCATCTTCTGAACAATAGACACATACCTTCCCACCCATACACATATACCCTCCTACATATAAACAAATACCAATCGCACCCATACACATACCCACCCACCCATACACAAATACCTATCCCACTCCATACACATACTCAACCACCCATACAAACATACCCTCTCACCCATGCACATATACCATCCTACCTATACACAAATACCAATCCCAACCATACGCATTTACCCTCCCAGCCATACACACATAGCCACCCCTTCCATACACACATAACCTTCCAACAATAGACTCATGCCCTCCCACCCATACAAACACACACACCCCACACATACACACATACCCTCCCACCCACATACACACATACCCCACAGCAATAGACAAATACCCTCCCATCCATACACATTCTACTACCCTCCTAACCATACACACACATACCCTCCCAAGCCATACACACATACCTACCCACACATACCCACCCAACCCATACACACACATACCCCTGAACAATAGACACATACCTTCCCACCCATACACATATACCCTCTTACCAAATAAACAAATACCAATCCCAACCATACGCATTTACCCTCCCATCCATACACATACCCACCCAACTCCATACACACATACCCCTGAACAATAGACACATACCTTCCCACACTTACACATATACCCTCTTACCAATAAACAAATACCAATCCCAACCATACGCATTTACTCCCTCCCATATACACACATATACCCACCCCACCCATATACACACATACCCTCCCACCCATAAACACATACCTACCCCATACATACCTAACCTGCCCTAAAACACACATACCATACGTACATACATACCCACCCAACCCATACCCATGCTCATATATACCCCCTGAACAATAGACACATACCTTTCCACACCCTCCTACTTCTATAAACAAATACTCTAATCCTAATACCTATACACATACCCACTCCACCCATATACACACATACCTCCCACCCCTAAGAATAGACACAAACCCAACCCACTCCATGCACATATATTCCTCCCATCCATACACACATAACCTCCCAACAATAGACACATGCCCTCCCACCCATACACATATACCCTCCTACTCTACACACAAATACTCACCCCAACCCATATGCACATATACCTCCAAACCGTACACATACTCCACCCACCCATACACACATACCCTCCCACCCCCTAAGAATAAATACAAACCCTACCCACCCATGCAATACATATACCCTCCCATCCATACACACATACCCACCCCACCCATACACACATAACCTCCCAACAATAGACACATACCCTCCCACCCATACACACATACCCACCCTCCCTAACACACATCCCCCCAAAAGAATAGAGACATAAACCCACGCCACCAATGCACATATACTTCCTCCATACATATTCTACCACCCCTGCCACATACACACTCATATACTTCACACACAAGCACTCGCGCACACACTCACATACTTCACCCATACCTCCCACACACACCCATCCCTACAAACACCCCAACACACCCTCACCCCTACATGCATACACCCTTCCCCAAATACAACCCTTCTATCTCCACACACCATGTCCCGAACAAGCACATACACACCCCAACATACATCCCGTCTCCCTACACATTATACACGCATGAATCTCTAAACGACCTCATTTCACATTCAAGCTTCCACACTATACAAGTGAGATAGCAATACATGCTCGGGGATAGTAAACTGTGTCTGAATTGTGTATCATTATTAATCCGATGCAAGGTGTTTCACTGCACTATGAAACAATCATAAAGTCAGACTACAAACACCCACACACTCGTTGATGGATAATTCTCACAGCGTGGGGCTCCATTTTACATCAAACCACCAATTGTCAATTGAAACAGGATATCCGAAGCCTATTGCTGCAACATTGTCTCCCAACACACATATTTGACCCATCTAGTAAAAAATGAGCGTACTTACCGCCTTTCGTGATGAGAGCTGGACGAGAACTGCGACGTGAAGATAACGTTGGGTTTATATACGACCATGCTGTGATTTCTTAGAAAAACCAGTCTCCAGCTCCCGGCTGGTTTTCCCCACACTCGCCAATTCTCGGGAATTACCCAGTCCAAGAAAAAAGCTAATTATAGAGCAAGGTCACAGTCAGCTGCAGTGCTACAACTATCTCCCAGACTCCAAATGTCAGGATAACACTTGAAGCCCACTCAATTCATTGTGAGGCAGCATTTACCGAGAATTCAAAACAGAGCAGCACTGACAGGCCGGTAATAGATGTTTTCACACTGAGAGCAGCAATGCATCGCAGAAAAACCTTCAGGCATCTGTTTTTCTTAGTCTGTTCATCGTCTACAGTTCTTTTAATATTCTACTTTTGTTGATCATAAGTATGATAAATGATTATTCTCGTCACGGTATGGCTGAAATATTGCCGAAGTGACGATAAATATTCACTCACTCACACGTAAATTCTCACGAACACCACCACCAACTCCTCTCCCGCCCAGCAGACACATACAGTGCCTTACGCACCCCCTACATACATCCCTCCCCATATATACTCACACCCTCCCCTATGTATACAAAAGTAGTTTTCACACCTCATGCACACTCTCACCCAAACATACACACACACTCACCCTAACATACACACACTCTCACCCAAACATACACACACTCTCACCCAAACATACACACACCCTCACCCTAACTTGCACAAGTGTCTAAGGTCATGATTAATAGTGTAAATGATAATTTCTTAGAAAATATGTAAATAACAGACTGGGGTACTGTCAGCTTATCTACACTTGCCTCTTTCAAGGATAGAATTACTATACATGGGCTTAGCACTCAGTACAGCCTTGGACCAAGGCTACCCTAACCCCAACATACACACTACCCTCGCCCAACATACACTCATAAGACACAGATACCATTTCCCTCAAATATACACATCTTTCCTTCAAATTACACCCCGATTCTCCTATGTAAGTATACTACAGATCTTTACATACCCTCCCCCTTCGTAAGCACCACTATACACCTACCCTTTAAAACACCCACCTACACATACCTACCTCTAATCACATACATACACACTTTCACACAAACCCTCATCATTTCATGTCCCCTCCCTCTTACTCTATACACGTACATGTATACTCCTCGTCACAATCATTGTCTATTCACTGTTTATTCATTGATATATTAGGGACAGTTCATATTTTATGGCTAGGGGTGGGTGGGGGTGGGATTTTAGGGGTCACCCATTTTGTTCGGGGGAGGTAGGGGTCAGCAATTTTGCACCCATGTACTAAAGGGGTCAGCAATTTTGTACATACAAATATATAAAATTATGCTTATGGGGAGGGGTGGGGGTTATTGATTTTGTACATGATAAGCAGGGATGGGGGTCACTTACTTTGTACGTAAATTTCAGGTTTGGGGTGTGTGTCATTCACATTGTGCATGCTTCTGCATAAAAATCATCATCACCATCACACACCACACACCCCAACCCCCGCCATAAAAGTGTGAACGGTCCCTAAAATTATGACTCATTCCTCGAGGCAACGAACATACTGGCTGAATGGTCATACAAATGAGAATGGGTTACTTTCCCGGCAGCACCAGAGGTCAAGTGAAAGAATATTTAGTTCAGTAATTAGATTCTTAATCCTGGGTCTTCGTAACTTACGATCAACTATTTCAATTGAGAGTAGACATTTCCCAACGCACGAACTGAAATCTAGCGAAACCAACGAATCAAGCACTGTTCTGTTCCCAGGGCTGATCACATGGGTTGACGCATGGAGACGGTGGTCTATATTTAGCAAGGAATTGCAAACCTGTTGTCTATCACTGCATGAAAAGCCTATTTCTTGGTATAAGGGTGTTATTGGATAATGTGTGCATTTCAAGTATTCCAAATCAACAGGTTATATTTCCTTGTGTGCATAATTTCGAACTGTTGTAGAAATAACATCATTACATATCAGTGTCTATATCTGTCCATAATGCAGGCACGTGTATCATGTCATATAAGCAAGGGGTTTGCCTACAAATAATACACACATTCCCCACTGTACAAAAACACATCCCTCAGCCTGTATTCACAGACCTCCCTTTATGAAAGTATGTACTCACCATTCACTCAACAAACACTCTCTTAACTATACATACACACATCCGTCACACTACAAACACTCATTCTTCTTCATACAAACACACATGCGTCACACAAGAAACACACACGCTTTTCCCTACATACATCCCTCACGCTACGTACTAACACTATCTTCCCCTAGATACACACAATCGACACACTACATACACTCACTGTTCTCAATACATACAGATAACCCTGCCACTGCAAACATTGTCCCTACATACACTGGTCCGTAACACTACTCTCTCACTCACTAACTCACACACTCACACACACACACACACACACACACACACACACACACACACACACACACACACACACACACACACACACACACACACACACACACACACACACACACACACACACACTCCCTAGACACACACATCTGTCACACTGTCACATCTCCCTACATACAGATATCCCTGACACTAATACACACACTATTCTCCCAACAAACACATATCCCTCACACCACTAACACACACTCTTCTCCTTACATACACACATCCGTCACAATCCCAACAGTAGTATATAAGTAATCCAGATAGCACAGACAATAGCATTCCTAAGAGAACAAAAGCATTCCTGAGGAATACAATAGCATTCCACAGGAGCGCTCCTTAAAGCTCCTTAAACTATTCACACTATTTCAGTCATACAATAGCATTCCACAGGAGCCCTACTTAAAGCTTCTTAAACTATGCAAACTATTAAACGATAGCATTCCACAGGAGCCCTACTTAACACTCCTGAAACTATGCAAACTATTAAACGATAGCATTCCACAGGAGCCCTACTTAACACTCCTGAAACTATGCAAACTATTTAAACGATAGCATTCCACAGGAGCCCTACTTAACACTCCTGAAACTATGCAAACTATTTAACGATAGCATTCCACAGGAGCCCTACTTAACACTCCTGAAACTATGCAAACTATTTAACGATAGTATTCCACAGGAGCCCTACTTAACACTCCTGAAACTGCAAACTATTAAACGATAGCATTGCACAGGGCCCTCTACTTAACACTCCTGAAACTATGCAAACTATTAAACGATAGCATTCCACAGGAGCCCTACTTAACACTCCTGAAACTATGCAAACTATTTAACGATAGCATTCCACAGGAGCCCTACTTAACACTCCTGAAACTATGCAAACTATTTAACGATAGTATTCCACAGAGCATTAAAGCTCCTGAAACTATTGAAACCATTCAAACTATTTACGGTGAACAACCAAGTTACACATTAACCCTTGAGCAGCTCGATCCGGTTAGTGTCGTAAGCGTTCTATTATACACGTGTTTCACAGCTCTCACTAGTGACAAAAACATTCCAACAAGTTTGGAGGTGTGTTTTATTCCATGAAGGTTCGTTAGTTTATAAATGAACCTTTTTGTATATGTTTATAATCTTCTGTCATTATTCAGATCTATGACAGGAGGTAAAGAGTTAACTTTATGAAATGCTCGCATATACATAGAGAATGAGCGATGTTCCCGTACGCTCCTGAAATTGAACGCCAAAACGCAAAAAGAGGAGAGGTAACGCATTAGGTGTTGCTTGACAACGCCTTAGCAGTTGCGTTCGAGTGAATATTTCTGGTTCATTGTCCATGTAACGGAATTGTAAACGTTAATGCATAAATAACATCGAATGTTAGCAAAGTTCAACACCTTTTAGTGTGATGGTAAACTCGCATGTAAGACATATTTACATATTACTCAAAGTAAAACAAATAAATTAATAAACTTACCTAAATTTGAACAAAACAGGGTTTGCAGACACACTCCGCCGTTGTCATCACATCAGTGTTAATACAGTGTTAGTCTTTCCAGTTTCACTGAACATTCGGTCTTTAAACACAATGTTTTAAGCCTTTTCACGTTCGCTTTCTTCGCCTTCTCTTCCTTGCTCCTTTCTCTTAAATTTTTCAGTTTGTCTTCTCTTCTCCACCTTTTCCGTCTCTCACTCTTCACTTCTGTTCTTTTTTAAACTTTTCACAATATTCTTTAATTATTGGTTGGTTTTCTAATAAATATGATGATTTGTTCATCTGTCAAAGTAACAGTTTGTTCTATAATTATGTTTTTACTTATTTTCACTGAACCTAACACTTTCAAACATTCTTCCTTTTCCATGTCATAAGCAGTAACTCTTATTCCACCAACCCAAGCGACTTGTAGAACCTCAGAATTCCGCGACTGAGATGTGCGCATGCGTAAAATAATCAGTTTGGCGCTTTGCTTAGAATGGTCAGCAACTAATTAACGAAGCTCTGCGTAAGTTTTTGCAACAAGTTCGGAATACGGATACAGACAACTTTCTGGTTTACGTGATCGGTTGCAGAAGTGTCTTGGAGGGACTTTTGTGGGTCGGAAGAGGGCACAGCCTTCATAGACCTTTTCTTTGAACCGTTGACGGACACAGTCCGTGGTCAAAGAGTGGACACAATATGGCGACACCTACCAAAGACAATGGGGTGACGGAGCACAGCTCTACCCGTATAACAAAGCCCAACACAGTTGGCATGAACAGACCCTCATCGTTTGAAGTGGTCGAAAATCTGTCGCAACAGTTGGATAAACCGAGACCCAAGTCCAAACCCCGAATGGACTCAGAAACGGAGGAAGAATACCCAGAGGGTTGTGAACGGCACGAAAGTGAGATCGAGGGTCAAAGGTCAGTGCCAGCATCCACGCTCGAGGCAATGATGCGGGCTATGATAGACGCCCAGCAGAAGCAGACCGACAGGCTGATGGCCAAGTTGGGGCCCCGTTTGGGTTATGAAATCTCGGACTCGCAACCCGGGCCGAGTACGTCCGGAGTTAGCCGAGATGATTCGAGTGTGACGGAAGTGCCACACGGCCATGACAGTGA